TAATGTTGGAGTGATTTTACCATAAAAGTATGGCTTAGAAAGAACAACTTGTTTTTGAGTTATAAGGAAATTAATGTTTGTGATGGTGGAAAAGCTTGTGATAGATTGTTTTGTCTATGATTATGGCATGGTCGTAGTATATTTTGTGTGTATTGTTTTCTGTAACTATTTGAAGTGTTCATTTGTAATATGATCCCTGGGTGTAAATAGTTTGTGTTTGTATGCAAATTTTTGATATAATTGCTATTTGGTTATGATAAAGTTAAAGAAAATCATTTAATGCAAATATTTATATTCTCTAATTCATTACCATAAATTTTAACTAACTTTTTTAAAACAATTTTAAACATTTTAAAGTGTATTAAATGAATCATACAAAAGTACAGTGATATTTATGTATAATGTCATTTGAGATCATGTTATCAGATTAATATTGTATAAGAGTAGATTATATTTTAAATTAGTGATGAAACTAACCAGTATATTTTTAAATCTTGTAAAATTATTTTTAGCCAGTGCAAGACGTTATGTTGATTGACAATTCGATTCAACACAGTTCTGATAAAAATACAAACAGCAGTTCGGAGTCACAGAATATGGAGCTACCATCTGTTGTGGATTTTGTTACGCTTGTTAATGATATCGAAATTTTGCAAAAGAAGGTAATTATTTTGATCTGATTTTGTAATATATTGGGTATAATTTTGTGAGGTATTAGAATTAATCTTTACAATGATATTTAGCTTCTGTAAATTTCTGTCAATATTCAAAGACTTAAGCACTGACAAAATGAACTTTGAGAAGTAAAAGAAATGACAATAACAGGATGATTCAAATACTTATCTGACNTATTTTGTTTTGGATTAATAATTAGCCTTAATATAGCCTGAGAAAAATTCGGGAGCTTGTTTGATATTACTAATGTATCAGATCACTGATGTTATTATAGTTGTGTAGTTTGTGCATGATGTGGCATTTCCTACAAATGTCATCTAGGAGTGGTATTATTACTACACTTAGAAATTTAGATTGTTCTCAAATTTTCTAGTTCTAAGAGTTTACAATGTCTTGAGGTTACCACTTAGATGGTCAAGGTGTAAGGTGTCACCCTACCACTACGGGAGATGCAGAGAATTTTTTGAGGGTTTGTCCAAGACACGTTCATTCTTTGCCACCCAAGGCACTAATGCATTCGTTAACAGCCATAGGTTTTACATATGTATGTATAGTCATATGTATCATGACTATACAATTAGTGGCAGAAGAATGTCTTGAGAATGGTAACAAAGTTTTTTAAATGAATTAATGAAACAAATAAATAAAAATTAATTTAACTTTTAAACATAAAATGTACCACACAAAAGCAAGAACAGGGTTTGCTTTCTACAAAGAAAACTTATACAGGAGCTCCCCTATTTATGAACATCAACTTATGAACTTTCAGATTTACAAACAATTTGACTATACGTCTAAAATTAAATTTCACACAAATTCTGAATTGAAGTTCTCTTGCCAGTTATGAGGTGGCATAGAAGCCGGTCTTTAGCAGTAATAAATAATTAATGTGGATTTATTTCTATTGCATTTCATCATTTTCCGTTTTCACTGTTGTTTGCAATTTTTATAAACTTTTAAGATTAGTGCTTCAAAGATGCATCCGAAATGTAATAGTAAATAGCATTGGAGATAAATAAAAGAATTGTGACTCTGTTATCGTGAAAACTAAACTTGATATTATAAAACTAAGCATGTTGTGTGAAGAAAGTTGCATTTGAAACACTACTAAGCAGTAGCGAGTGGATAAATGAGTGTAACCTATTCTATTGAGTACTTTGAAGAATCAAACACTAACAATACATGGTGATTCTGTGTACAAATACACTTTCTAGGTTGGTTTTCGATTTACAACAATACCTTGAGAACCTAACTTGTTCATAAGTAGAAAAGCACCAGTACTTTCAAACTTTGCGAATTTGTATGCAGAGCAAAAATTATTTGTAAAAGCAAAGGAATTTCACTGTTAAACATTTTAAACCTCATTCTTTTTGCATATGAAAGGTTTATATTAATTTTTTTGGTGATGAATACACTTCTAGCCTCATAGAAACTATCAAAGCCCAAATGGATAACTTCTGCCTCCAAGACCCACAGGAGAATGATACAGAGTGGCAGAGAAGCCTGAGGGCTTGTAGCCTGGAAGACATTAATTCCCCCAACATACCCAACTTTGAGTACTATGAAATCAACAACATTATTCAGAGACTGAACAGAAACAAAGCCCCTGGTCTGGATGGGATTACAACAGATATCATGAGGCAGATATGGGATCGAACTCATGACACCCTGCATTACATATACAACGGCTGCCTCCATCATGGGATTTTTTCAAATGCCTGGAAAACTGCTAAACTTATCTCAGTCCCTAAGCAGGGCAATGAGGATGGCCTTCGCCCTATCTCTCTACTGGGGAAAATCCTTGAAAGACTCATTGCCAGCAGGATCATGTGGCATGTGGAGACTACTGGCTAGCTATTCAAGGTCCAGTATGCTTCCGTCACCAGAGATCAACCGAAGACACAACACTGTGGTTGAAAATGCCAAGCTCTTCTTAACATTCACAAGTATGTCATGGGTATCAGCCTGGACATCTCAAAGGCATTTGACAGTGCTTGGTGGCCCAAGATCATACATTGCCTTAGAGAAATGAGATGTCCTGCAAATCTTTTTCACCTACTTAAAGATTACATGAGGGACAGGATAGCCATATTAGAATATGGGGACTACAGTCTCCAAAGGAGGTAGTTTGTGGCTGCCCACAAGCACTCTAAATGATATATATAACTGGGGTCAAAAACACAAACTCAACTTTAACCCCTATAAGACCAAGTGCATTATCTTCAATCAGCCAGGAAAGCATAATCTCTATGCCAGGGTGCCCACAATAAAAATGAATGGTTGCACCGTCAAGGTGGATAAAACAATTAAATATTTAGGCATTATACTTGATAGAACTTTCTTGTGGAACGACCATGTGAATTCATTGCAGAAAGGACTAACCTGATCTTTAACACCTTTGCAAAGGTTGCCAGGAACAATTGGGGCCTTAGTGCGGATGCTATGGAATCCATATATGATAAAATCTTCATACCTGAATAACTTACGCGGCTAGTAGCTGGGGGCAATCAGCTCACAAAGTACATCTAGAGAGGAAGCTGATCTCAGCACAAAGAAAAGCCCTGCTGCTGGTTACTAAGGCATATCGCACAACCCCCAACAAGATCCTCCGTGTGATTGCAAGAAGGGCATCAATCAACAAGCTCATTGTAATCTTTGAGCTTCAGTGTAATGTTTGGAGAATGAAACAAGGGAAAGATATAACTGCAGCAAACACCAGAATACATGGAACAGATCTCTAGAGGAAGATCCCTTTCTCAGATATCCCTTGCTGCAGATATCCAAGCCTAAGTCCCATCCTCCAGTTTACAGCCATGGCACACAACAACATTACTATCTACACTGACGGCTCCAAGTCCCCACAAGGCATCAAGCCTTGTGGGGACTTGGAGCCGTCAGTGTAGATAGTAATGTTGATGTGTGCCATGGCTGCAGTTTTGTGACTTATCTTGATGATAATGAAACTCACTACAAACAGTTCCGACTAGGCAACCATTGCTCTGTCTTCCAGGTAGAGTTATCTGCTATCCATCTTCCTATCAAATGGACTACTGAAAAATACAACAACAAGCTGATTAACATCATCACTGACAGTGCATCTGCAATTGCTTTTCTGAACAAAAAGAGTCTACATCCCATTGCAGATAGCATAATCTACAGCTCTAATAACAAGTATCACATCAGTTGGATGTGCTCCCATCAAGGTATTGTTGGGAATGAGCATGCCGACTCCCTGGCAAAGGCTGCTTGCAGCAACTGCACTCTCCCCATTGCATATGACAAAATCAGTATCCACACGCTAAAAAGTATCTTATGGGAAGACCTTATACAAGACTGGCAAAGTGAGTGGGACCAACACAGGGAATCAATCACCTTCTTCCCCAGCATCAGTGAGGCCTTGAAGTTCACCTGGTTCACTCCAAATCATCATGTGATCCAGTTCCTTATGAATCATGGCTGCTTCTCAAGCTACCTTCAAAGGTTTATTGGCACCCCCACTAATCTGTGCACCTTCTGCAACACTGAAGATAACGCTAAACAATATTTGTTTGAATGTCTTATGCTGGATGCAGAATGCCTTGAAATTAGAACTATTGTGCAGGCTAACAATATCCAATGTCCCTGCACCTGTGACAACCTAATAAATAATAAAACTGTTTATTACTATTTCAAGCAACTCATAAACGAATACCACATCTTGAGAAGCTCTACTGTGAATCCAACTGCTAATCAGTAACTTTGTCCTACATATACCAGTATGTATCCTGCATTTTAACTCAATTTTACCTTGTAAATCTATCACTGTACATATCAGAATTTTGTATATTACTTAATATGTGATGCATACTTTTTATCTGTATTTGCTATGTATACTCTGCTTGTGCTTCATCAAAGCAGACGTGCAGCCCTTCTTGATTAATGTATCCCATTAATACTGTCATGACTCTTCTATTTTATTATCTATATTGTAATCAACTGCTTGTCTAAAATATCTATCATATTTTGTATTGTGTATTTGTACTCATCACCTAGTTATGCATCGTGGTACTAGGTATGTACTCAATTCTGGTACCTAATAAATAATTGTATGTATGTATGTATGTATATATGTAATTTTTTTTGGTGTATAAGAAAGCATAATTTCCTTTATAATCTTTACTTAATTTACTAACTATGTTCGTTAAAATGTAATAAGTTGAGTAACAAAATTTTGTTAATGATAACTTTTTAAAAACTTGTTAAATATCAGAATAATAATGCATTTGAATTATCTTTCTTTTAAGGTTCCTTCCAAGCCTTCGATTTATGTTGCCAATGTGATAAATCAAATTGAAAATTTTTTAGAAGAAAATTCAAAGTTCCTCTCTCCAAAACTGAGAACCGAATGGTGCATTCGAATTCTCGATGGCGTCACACAACAGTGGGTACCTTTTGAAAAGTTTTGTTTTAATCCATGGCAAGAGTTTAAATTAAGTTTTTTCGAACAGGTATTTGTCCGTCACCAGTGACGTTTTAATATCAGTAAAAAGAATGGAAGACAGTCTGAAGAGGTTAAAGAGAGCGAGAGATAAAAATACGGTCATATCAGCCGCTGGCGGAAGTGGGGTCAGCGACGACGATAAAATCAGGCTGCAGTTGGCCTTGGACGTGGAGAGTTTTGGAAACAAGGTAAATGTCAATCGATTAAATAGATAAAACTTCATTAACAAACATTTCCATGACAAAAATTTATTGTTCTATCCCAAGATCGAATGTCTTGGCATACAGAGAAAGAATGTACGGGGTTACGACACGCTGGTGGAAGTGGTAGAATCGGCCAGAGTCTCGCCCTCGTCCTGATAAGAATTCGTAACCCTATGGGTGCCCGTGACTCTTAGACCATATGTTAGATCGGAATATTTTCCAATCTATGAAATTAATACACTTGTGATAATTTCAAAAGACGTTTGCCGAAATTTTTATCGGTGTGCATTCGAATGCCATTGTACCAAGTTCCAATACATACTTACACATAATTTTTCATTAATGGTATTTCTTTTCACTTTATTGGGAGATGGTGTCAATTATTTTTATCTCAATAGTCTTTGCTTGAATATTCACATGAGAAATACAATGAAGTATTAAATCTGATATTTATGATCATTGTTTGGTTTCTGATCAAGTTCAGTTTTATCATTATGTAATTTGAAGATTTGGATTAGATACTTCATTGCATAAAAATATCATTTAGCAAGAACAGTTTGATTTTATCGATAAGATGATTTCTGGATTATCTTGCATACACATGTACTAGTCTTGTCTTAAAGTATCTCTCCCTCTTCTCGTGAAGAAAACTGATGATTTCTCAAGATGCAATAAAAAAATTTCACTCTAATTGGGATCTTTTATATATAAATAAATATGGAAAAAGTTTTATTATATTATTAATACTGAATTCGAAATTATGAACTGTTCTTTCACACACTAATTAAAATCTTGTTACTAAGTTGAAATTTTATTTGATTTTTAATGGGAGTGATTGGCAGATATGAAGCCATTCAATTTGATGATAAAATGTGCAATATTCTTTACTTTTCTATTGTTCTGATTGGTATAAAAGCTCTCGTTTATTTAAAAGGTACTGTTAATACTTATGGTGATTCGTTTGACAATCAGTTAAAAATTTACGAATCAATATGTATCAGTTAAAAATTTACGAAAATGTATTTTCACAAACAATATGTAAAGACAGTGACGAGAAAATTGTCTTTCTGTCATTGAGTATTAATTTCATAAGTAAAAAATTGTCAAGGTATTATATTTATTATCTGGGATGGTGGCAGTCTAGTGGTACAACACCAGACTGCCTCTGTCCTAGTAATTGCTTGGTAATTGAAAAACCAGATTGTAGTGTGGTGATTTTAGGTCACTAGTAGTTTTGGAGTTGACAAGAACGTTTTTGGTTTAGAGTCAAACTCCATTCGGTGGATAACTTGGCATCAAGCGTTAATGCTTGAACATCATTTGAATTTGGAGTCGTGTTGCTAAACCAGAAGCACACATGTAAAGTTTGACATCTAGCAGAATGGAGGATGGTAAATGTGGTGGAACCATGCTTGCCAATCATAAACAGACCTGGAGGTGGCAGCCCATGACAATCTAATCTGGTCAGATCCGTGGGACCTTCTTTTCAGTATGGACCCAAAGGGCAATCTCCATGTGTCAAAGTCATCGTCGGACAAGTAGGGAGGTCATGTGCTCTGGTCTTTCGATGCACCTTCATGGTACACTTTAAGTGAATTATTAGGGTTTTCCCATACTTTAAATTTCAGTTTCAGTAATGTATAATCTGTCTGAATTTGTTTAAAATACTGTTCTGTTTGGTAAATTTTAAAATGTATAAATACTATTAAAATTAGAAAATTTCTAAAGGTTTAAAATTAGACAATTTGAAAGACTCACATTGCTTTTGGTGTCGGTCGACATTTGGCCAAAAATTATGAAACGACCTCTGTGACATTGTACAACAAATCAAAAGTTAAACATAAACATTATTGCCATTAAGAATGTTAGGAAAGTTTATTAATTATTCAAAAGGATTATTGATTACTGCAATTATGTAATAATAAATTCTTTACAAATCATTCATTAAAATCCAAAAAACAATTCCAGTTAAATTAATTCTTGAAAACCAAAAGAACTTGAAACTCTAAATGGCAATTTCGCTTTTAAAATGAGTCTAAAATTACATTTAACGTTTTATTTCCTTTGATTTCAACACGTGATTATCAGAAGAATCGCTGCTTTTAGTATTCAGAACGAGGGTAGTTAATTTGCCGATTATAATTAAAGTGTGTTACATATAAATTGAAAATACCACATTATTGCGAAATTTAATAAATCCTAGAAAGCCCAAATGTAAAATAATCATCCTTTTGCATCGGTTCTGTTAGCTTCTGTTGAATTATTTATGTATTTAACCGCAGAAAGCAGAAACGAATTTTGAATCTTAGGGCATTATTTTATATTAATCAAGAACGGTTTTTGCATTTTGGAGCACCGTGTCGTGTCGGTTGCATTCTTTTATCATCGCTTTGTCCAATGCAAAAAACAATAACAAAATGTATGTACATTGAATTTGATTAAAAATGAACTAATTATTTTTTATCAAAAAAATTTGTAATAGACTTGTCATTATTAGTTTTATGAATCATACAGAGACAATACTTTCATCACTTAATTGAATCATTGCTCAAGAAAACGTTGTATCTGTAATTTTGCCGTCTCGAGAAAATGGCAAAAAATAGATTTCCGCTCACATAACATACGTCATTACCAAACAAACACTGAATTATAAAGATAATGTTGGAGTGATTTTACCATAAAAGTATGGCTTAGAAAGAACAACTTGTTTTTGAGTTATAAGGAAATTAATGTTTGTGATGGTGGAAAAGCATCATATCTTACAACGTTTTTCCATAAACAGCAGGGGTAAAATTTAAAAATAAATAAATTTTCTTG